GACATTCTTGTTCCTTTTTAAAGCCAAATAATGTTCCGTTGTATATACGGATTGCATTTTTGCCCATCTATTTGCATCCAGGGACTCCTTGCTTCCACCTTTTGGTCATTAAAAAATGCAGTAAGCATGATGAGTGCACAAACATTCGTTGGCATTGCATGTTTTAAATCTACTGCTAACAAAAAGTTGTTAACCATCATGCTATGTTATGCTATATTTCCATTTTACCAATAGAACACAATAATGGAGTTTGTCCCAGAAACCACAGTTCAGTGATTCTGTAATGAAGAAACAGAAACTATTCCTGAGTTTTATTTAGGAGAATAAAAACTACAGAAAGACATTGAAGTCCTTAAAACCTTCTGGAGTAACATTTCTCAGCTAGAGAACTACGTCAGACATGGTGGTACAGGCCTGTAATTACAACACCCAGGGGATGTGAACGGGAGGGTCCGGACATCAAAGCCAGGCTGGGACCCGTGAGACTGCCTTAGATAAAAAAACAAAAACTTCAAGTTCACACAAGCAGGACAGACTGCATAGGTGCAGCTCCTACCTCCAGAGGAGAGATGCTTCGTGTGTCTTTACAACTTGCTTTCTCTTGGGAATGAGTTAAATTCAGACCTGAACAGAAGTGAATTCTTTTTTGGGGGGTGAGCAGATTGCTAACCCAAGTAGACCCAAACTATAATAAGACAAGGGAAGCTTCTCCACGGGGACGGCAAAATGACTGAAGACCGAAACTTCAGCCAACCATTCATTATTTATTAAACGCCCTCTGCTTTCTGGTCCCCTGCTAGTGGTTCCTCAGGGAAACAATTTCCGTTGCTTCAGGTCAGGTCAGGTCTCAAATGCACGAGAACAAGTTATTTGAAAACAAACATGAATCCTAATGCCAAGTTGTGTGTAACAGAAGGGGTTGCTATTTGTTAACCTGATGCTTATGGTGGTCCTCTCCTGGGCTGTCCTGCTGGCTCCCTGTCCTGGCCCACCAGGCGGAGCCTGGACTCTGGCCAGGGCATCCCAGAGCAGGGCTGTGCATCCCAGGTGGCTGCACAGGGACACAGCCCACAACAGACAGAGCTCAGCGGTAGGCGCACTCTTGCCCAGAGTGACCCAGTCCCTGTTTTCAGGGTCCTTCAATTCCTGTCCCACAACGCTCGCTCGTGGATAGCAGTGGCTGCAGGAGCAGGAACTAGCTGGTGCCGGCAGTACAGAGGCAGAGAGGGATGCAGGCGCAGGACTCAGGCACCAGAACCCAGCATGCAGGAGCACGGTCTACTCTAAGAGTGGGTGAGGGACGTGGTGCAAGGAAGGGGTGGGGGAACGCAGTGCTTCTGTCACCCAATTACGAGTAGAGCAGTGGTTCTCAACCTATGGTGACCCACTCTGGGGGGAGGGGTAAAACGACACTCTCAAAAGGGGTCACCTAAGACCTTCGGAAAACACAGATATTTACATTGATTCATAACAGTCGCAAAATGACTGTTATGAAGTAGCAACGACAATCACTTTATGGTTGTGGACACAACAACAAGAGGGAATGTATTAACGGGTCGCAGCATTAGCAAGGCTGAGAACCACTGCTGTGGAGCAAGGCTTGAACCTAGATGCAGGGATAGAGCAGGGCCCTGGTGGAGAACACAGGCACTGGTGGAGGGGAGACCTCGTTTCAAAGCAGCCAGAATCCGGAGTACCGCCCCCAAGCAACCTCCACAGAGCCAGGAAAGGCAGTCAGGGCGCCTCAGGAGCAGGGCACTATGAGGTACAGTCGCCCTGCAGCTCCCAGACCCTGGGATGCTTTCCCAACCCGATTCGGAAAAGCCCCCTAAAGTTGGAGAGTGGACTTTCGGGAAACTTCGGGGATAATTGGCCTAATTTTTTGGCTCCTGAAGGTCAGGCAGAATGCCTGTTCAACTTAATGGGCCAACTTAATGGGTGGCCAACGTTGGGTCCAGGTGGTCTTTCTGGAGATGTCGGAGATGTCGTAAGTTTGCTCTTGGAAAGTGGAGCCACTGCAGCTGCAAGGATCTAAAATCGATTTAGCAGCCACCCCAGCGGCAAGCAGTGGCATCAAGGATCGCCGAGCTTTCACATCTTCGGGGTCTCAAGTCCTTTTGGGATTGGTTAGAAGTGAGATGGGCTTACCTACTTTCTTTTAATAATCCCCTTTAAAGTGTTTATTTTCTTTGTAAAGTAATACTTGAGATGTTAGCGCCATGACCGAACACCTTTATCTGTACGCATGTGATGGCGCGCATGTGTAAAGAACGTATGTATTCAGAAGAGCAGAAAACCACACCTGCATTCTACAGTGAGCCTTTAACAGACTTGAGGTTAACAATCAATTGCAGTGGTTGGGCGCTGTTTGCTTCCTGTCTGATTGCAGAGGAACAGAGCTCATCCTCCCGGGCAGAATTCTTGGTTCATCATTATTTGTGAAAGGGACTTTAGCACACCGGCTTTCATTTTGTCAAGAAGCCTGCGACAGGTGTCATTTAACAGGAGTTGTTTACAAACAACTGGGAAGCCAGTTCTGCCCTGCTGTCCCTAAACCTTCAAAACGACTTCGATTCGCTCTCCACCAGTCGGTGGGTCTGTGCAATACGTTGTAAAACAAACATGGGGGAAAAAATTAAAGTGGAATGGGGGGGGGGGCGCACTTCTTTTCTAAATATCACTGTGTTTCCAAGTAAATATCAGCTAGCTTGGCATAAATTCCCCTGGCTCCGCCGTTTGGTTCCAGCTTGAGATGGCCACCGAATGAAGGAAGTTGGTGTTACCTGTCCCAGGAATGTGACATTCATTCACAAAATGCCCCCGTGGGAAACAGCTGCTGGCTAGCCATCACGTCTCTGGGAGTAGTTGTCAGACCGTCTTTAAGTCACAAGCAGTCAGCACAGCCTAAAAAAAAAACAAACCACTCCAAGCCTTTTCCTACAGCTGACAGGACCCCCGCTGGGAAGATAAAGCTCTTGAGGGGAAAGAGGAGGCAAACTCAAGACAAAGGAGACTTAGAACAGTCTTCCCAGCAGTTTGCTAAACCACTGAAGGAATCGACTGGAGAGAAAATTTGTTAAAACTTTCTCCCAGTCTCTGCCATCCCATCCCTACTGTCAGCGTTCCAAGGCTTTGGAGGGATGAACCTTGTTGGGAGACTGTCAGGTCTCAAAGAAACCCTGGGCAAATCTCACTCATACTGTGGCTCACCCAGCCCTCCTACCTTTCCAGCCCAGGGCTAAACTTCTGCTTCCCTTCCCCCAGCTTCTCTTCCCTATATAACCTCAGCCATTTTGGTTACTCTGCTCTCTTAGACTCTTGGCTCCTGGCTGGCCCCGCTCCTGGACCTCTATTGGTCCATTTGTCCTCTCTTTCCTTTTCCACTCCCCCCACCCTCCTCCTCTGGTTCAGTCTCTGGGCCGTGTTCAGTCTGGACCCTTCCAGATGCCTCTGGCTGTGCTTTCTCTCATATCTACAATATACCTGCTCCTCAACCATACCTTGGAGTGGTCATGCCCTCATTTTTCATTTTGAGATCATATGTGCCGGAGCACCAGCCCACTCAGGTGCTGTTAAAGAAAAAATTCTTTCCTTTGTTTCACCTAGAGCCAGGGACCTTCCCACAGAGGCTCACACTAGTGAATAAAGATCCTCCTGTGAATTCTGCCTCAGCAAATCAGCTCACTGTCTAACCTGTGGCCCACATTGACACAGCTGCTGTATTTCCTCTGTTTAGCAATGGTATGTCTTAAAAATGAGAGGTCACAAAATTTCAGTTTTGACCAATTTCTTGGGCAACATTTACATTTTAAGTTATCCTGTTCATTTCTCCTAATTAAAATGATTTACATGGCTGAGTTTGAAGAATAAAACCTCGTGTTTCTCATGGCTGTTGTGGATTACCTGGTGCCTGTGGAGACTTTGAACTGTTGCCTTTTAGATGATGTCATTACTTGGACAGTTTTAGAATCTGCAGCATTTCACAAAGTTCTGCGATATGTTCATGAACACATAGCATTTATAAATGTGCCAACATGGTGTCAGAACAATGTAGAAAACTGAAAGGTCTTTGGGAAACCTTCACCTGTCCAGAAAGCCTGTTTCACAGATGTAGATGTGAAAAAACTCAGCCAAATGCAGATGTTGGCTTGATTTACCTGTGTCTGTCTGTTCCTCCCAGATGCCATGCCTGTTCCCAGGACTAGGCAGTCAGGTTCTATATTTTGTTCTATTTTTCCCATGTCTGTCTCTTCAACAGGCTGTAAAGGAATCTCTTGAACTGAGGACTAGTTACTTGAATATTTACAGTACATAGCTCAGTGACACACGCAGGAGTATTTTAATGTTTATTGCAGAGGGAAAAAAATCCACCATTGTGCATGTATAAAGACAGCCTGTTTGCAATTTCAGTGTAATGTTTCAAGACAATAAAAAATATTTCATCTAAATTTTCATTCTCACTATGGTAGAAAATTCTTCCTCATGATAACTAGGTTAATTGTCTTGGCCAGGTCGCCATGGCAACTAATTGAGCAGAATAATACAGAGATAGCTAGGTCTATGGTAACCATGATGGAGCTGTTGTTACTCTCCAATAGAAGAGAAAGAAGAGTCAGAGGACCCTGTGGTAGTTGGAAAGAAAATGGTCCCCAACCGGAGTGGCACTATTAGGAGGTGTGGCCTTGTTAGAGGAAGTGTGTCACTGTGGGAGTGGGCTTTGAGGTCTCTTTTGCTCAAGTTTCCCTCAGTGTGACAGTCAGTCAACTTCCTGTTGCCTGCAAGATGTAGCACTCTCAACTCCAGCACCACATCTTCCTGCATACTGCCACATTCTCTGTCATGATGATAATGGACTAAACCTCTGAAACTATAAGTGAGCCACCCTTAATTAATTTTTTTATAAGAGTTGCTGTGGTCATGTTGTCTCTTCACAGCAACAGAAACCCTAAGACAGACCCTCATTTGAGAGTCAAGCAATTACTTTCTCTGTCCTCCTCCAGCTTCAGATGATCTGAGTAGATGTTAATTGTAGAGGAAGTGGGAAATTAACAGAAGGAGTCCTTGATGTGGTTTCCATAAAGTCATCATCCTCGATGGGGTGAGCCTACACGGTGATGCACCTCTTCTGGGGTCAACCATGGCCATGTAAGTAAACTTTCACCATGTTCTATAAGTAAGACCAATAAACTCATTGATTAACTAAGTTAAGATTGCACTACAATCATTACTTTGGTCTGTAGTTGATTCCCTGAGATGAATAAGCATTTGTTTTTAATTTACCAGGATAAATGAATGTGAGAACTATGGACAAAAGAAAGCCTCTCACCTCAATGGAATAAAGACCTGGTTTATTCAGGACTCAAGCATGACTGACTACGGCCCAGGAACACAGATTCAGGTCGTCCTAAATTCTATGTTCCAATGTGAAAACAGCTTAGCAGCACTTTTATCGTGACAGCAAAGAAAGTCATAAATGAAGACATGTACAATACATTGGCAGAAACATTAGATAGGTGGGTAAAACAGAGAGGAAATCTCTATAGGTCTCAGATGCTATCTGATGATGCTCTTACCTTTTAGCCATGGCAACTAATTGAGCAGAATAACACAGAGGTAGCTAGGTCTATGGTAACCAATGATGATGCTGTTGTCTCTCCCCAATAGAAGAGAAAGAAGAGTCAAAGGACCTTGTGATAGTTTGAGAGAAACCGGCCCCCAACAGGAGTGGCACTACTAGGAGGTGTGGCCTTGTTAGAGGAAGTGTGTCACTGTGGGGTGGGCTTTGGGGTCTCTTTTGTTCATTGGTGGAGGCTAGGTGTTTGTATGTTCCAAAGGATTAACAGTTGATGTTAGCTCACATGCAGAGGGGGCTGGTAAAAGGTCTAAAGACAGCCCAAAAGAATGTGTTTCTGGACTTGTAACATTTCAAACTCCACAGTCACTGGGGTTCTAGTAGGTTAATCAGCCTTGTAAAATCTTCAGTGGAAGCTGCAACTCCTTTCTGAGAACTTTCATTCAGGCTCATTGAGAAATGATTTTGCTAGCCATGCCACACCATCTGTAAAACTCTTGCATTTTGACTAAACAGTGACAATTACTAAAAGCACTTTGGTTCCTAGAACTAAAGGAATTTGTTTTTCTAGATTCTTGTCCTGCCCCACCTTGTCAACACCCAGTCAGGATGACTATTGATCACCTGACATTCTTTAACTGAGTGTTCATTGGTTACCCTTAGCAACAGCCAACTGTGGACTGAAAAAAGAAACTTTTCTCTTCTTCCTCCCTTAATTTTTCTGCCCTATAACTACCCCAGCCAATAAGCAGACAACAGGCTCTTATTCTTACACCAGAAACTACCTCTGCCAGTCCCCCTAACAAAGGCCTGCAATAAAGGCTTGATCCCTTGTCTGTCTTTCTTCCCTGCCAACCTTACTGGTATGGTAGGTATTAATCCCAAAGATGCAAGGAGAAAGACCACAGACTCAAATATTCATGGCCAAATTAATTAAAGTAAGCAATTAATTAAAGCAAGCCTTTTTATTCATGTACATGGGCTGCCTCCTTTAAGGTGGAGTAAGGGAGGTCAGGATTGGTTGTAAGGTAGACAAGGTTTTTACAGCTCAAGTATAAAGGGTTTCCAAATGGGGGATTTGGTGGGCAAAATAGACAGGGTTACAGGAGCAAAGCATAACATAGCAAGTTAGTCATAAAGACCTCTTGAAACAAGATGTGGTCGCAAGGTAGTCATAATAACAGATAGTCATAACAAGGTAATCATAGGTGGTCAAAATAATCTTTTGAAACAAAGACATAGTTGCTATTTCTTGGAACAGACACTACTGGACCATTTGTAGTTAAGATTATATGTGGGGGAAAGTCCAATCCTTGAGAAACAAATTTAATCATAAATAGGAATGACCCTAGTTTGTCTTTACTATATGATGGCTTTCAAGCCTAAGATGGAGGCAGGCTGGTTTATTACAGCAACAGTGTAAATGAACTCTGAAGCAAGAGGAAAATCCAAACAACAAAAAAAGCAAATACTCTTCCTTCTCTCATATCTTTTGTTATCTGGGCTTTTACTAAAAGGTGCCATCCACATTTAGTAGGTTTTCCCATGTCAGTTAAGGCAGTTAAGAGAATACCCCACCAATGGTCCAACTTGACATACATAATTCCTCAGATGAAGTTCCCTTTTCACGTGATTCTAAGTTGTGGCAAGTTAATGTTTAAAACCAACCATCTCATGCTGGGTCCTGCCTGACTATTGAACAGTCATGAATGGAGGAGTGAGGATTAAGAAATAACAGATGTGAAAAATAGAGATGTAGATGTAAAAGAAAAAGACAGAGACACAGAATAACATTGGGAGAGCTCTGGGTCAATACCACAGTTATCCCGAGTTTATTCCTCATGGGCTTTTCATACACTAGCAAGGGGAGAGGCAAAAGACCTCCCTCTCTCAAGGACACTATGGTTCAAGGTACAAAGTCAGACAAGTGTAAACACTCCCTTGATTCTCAAAACATCTAGTAGCCGTGCTTTATGGCAAAACATCCTGTAATTAAGCCTTGAAGTATAAGGCACCTGGTAACCACACCTTTGGCCCAAACACCCTATTATACAGCCTGCGGGGCAAAGTAAGCTCAGACTCTCTGACCTTGAGTTAAGATGGAATAAGGCCATACATACTATGGAGTCTCTGTGGGCCCCCTCAATCTCACATGTATTAAAAATGAAAATATTTGGGTATACAACCTCATATATGCTCTTTAGATATTCTGTCTTTATTGTCATATAGGAAAGATGCACAGACACAGCAATAACTGACATGCAAAGCCCAATAAAGAATTTCTTTCTTCATATCTAACTGTTTCGAGTCACAGAAATATGAAGTAGAAATTCAGCTGACTATGACAAAGCTATTACCTGGAAGAATCAAGGATGGTTTTCCAGAGGAAGTCAAGACTCAAGGAGTATTGGTGTTATTTGATTTTTGTATATATCAGCTGTTTCCTGTAATGAATTTCATGTGTGCTATTATAGCTTCTCCAATTGATTATTTTTCCTAAGAACTTCTTACAGTGTGTTTGATCATTCATTGGGCACAATTTTTCCCCATACAATTAAGGTATTTGGATACTTCCCCGAACTGTATTGACAACAGTCACACAGGTTCCATATTCCAGGCTTTTGTCTTCCCTTTTTAGCATTAGACTCAGATATCTGCCTTCTGTAATTATGTTCATTAGCAAGCATCCAGTGCCAGGACCATCTCCAGACAAAAGCATTTTATTTGAGATAGTTCTCAATTCCAAGGACAGACTTTAGACAGATAAACATTTCAGACCACCCACTAGTCTCCTAAAATAAGGTAAATATTCATATGGAGACAATTGCCAAGGTCAGGCGAATGTTAGGTACAAGGTTTGGTTTCTTGTGCAAATTAAGCTTAAACCCTCCTTTCTCCCATTAGCCCCAGTGGCATCTCTAGACTTCCTCTGTAACAATTACTCAGAACAGAGGGGTTTTTACATACCAGGTGCATCAAGCTATCAAGCTAGGACACAGGCTGCCTAGCTATCCCTGCCCTGTCAGAAAAGGATGCAGCTGAGTGTTACAGAGACAATTACGGCTCCTAAAGAAAAAGAGGCAGTTTTATTTTACTCATGATTTATACTAACATTATAGACTCCTAACATTTTACCTGACCACCTCTAGGAATGTAGCTTGAGCACATAAATTCCCCTTTATTGATATATTAACTGATTTTAGCTCTTAGTTGACCCCACTTCCATTAACCACTCCCCTTTCGGGTTGTAAAAAAAAAAGCCTGACAGTCACTGCCTGAGGTAAAGTGTTAGCTGCCTTTGTGACTCTGTAAGAATTCAAGCCTGGGTGACCTTGCCTTGGCCAGAGAATTGCTGCTTGGTTTGGGTGTATAACTGAAAACCTCAGAGACTTGAGAGGACTAGAGGAACAAGATGGAGAATGGGAAAGAACTAGATGGGAAAGACAAAGATGGGAAAGAACTAGATGGGAAAGAACTAGATGGGAGAATTAAGATAGAATTTAGAGAGAACAGCAGGAAAATGTAGAGAGATATCAGGCAAGAAAGGAGCTAAATATGAGCTATGGTTATGATGTATGGTTAACAGAATCCCGATCTCACTCCATAATTCCAATAAAAAATGAGTAATTTTAGTGAAGAAACCTGGCAGAGTGGTGCATGCCTGCAATTATAATAATTGGAACATCAATACAGGAGCATCAGGAGTTCAAAGCCAGTCTCTACATAATGAGATGGAAGCCAGCTTGTGCGATGTAGGACCCTGTCTCAAAAAGCAAACAACAAACAGATGAAAGAAAAGATACTTTGTGAATGTTGGTTAAGCGGCAGAGCTCATTGCCCTCGGCGGCCATGCCGACTGAAGAGCGCGCTGGATGCTACGGTGGTGGAAGAATCACGAGCCATGGTTACCTTTTAGAGCTTTATTAGGAGAGAGAGAGAGGGAGGGAGATAGATAGATAGATAGATAGATAGATAGATAGATAGATAGATAGATAGATAGATAGATAGATAGAGAGAGAGAGAGAGAGAGAGAGAGAGAATACGGAAGGAGAGAGAGAGCACACAGGCACGTCTGCTTTTTAGGCTGGGACGCTGTCGTAAGCTGGTGACGTAATAAGGACATAATCCTTACAGTGAATTTATTACTATGGATTTAAACCACTAGTTCCAACTCTAGATTACTTTGGAGGTGTGTGTGTGTGTGTATGGTATGCAAATATTTGTGTAAACATGTTCACATTGTGTGAGCACCTTTGTGTGGACACACGTGCACATGAGTGCATGTACATATTGACATTAGGTGTCTTCTTCCATTCTTCTTCACCTTACATATTGAGGCCCAGAGCTTGCTGAGTAGTTAAGTCTAACCAGCCAGCTTGCCCTGGGAGTCCCCTCTGTGCTGGTGTACACTGGGATTACAGGTGGCCACCACACCTACCCAACTTTTCTTGTGGGTTCTGGGGATCCAAATGTTGGTCCTCATACTTGCAGGGCAGGGGCTTTATTTCCCAAGTCATCCCTCTCCAGCTCA